CCCCAAGGTCCAAGTTGGTGGAAGGATGTGCCTCCTTTTCCTCTCTCCCTGCTCAGAATATATGTAGAGATCATATGTCAGTAAAAAGAACAGGGGTACTTGTGGCATCTTAGAGACTAACAAATTTATTAGAGCATAAGCTTTCGTGGGCTACAGCCTACTTCATTGGATGCATCTGTAGCCCACAAAAGCTTACGCTCTAATAAATTTGTTAGGCTCTAAGGTGCCACAAGTACTCCTGTTCTTTTGGCGGATACAGACTAACACGGCTACTACTCTGAAACATATGTCAGTAGGGGCTGGTGCCGGAGAGTGTTGAGCATAGTTACACATTAGCTAATTCAGGTAGGTAGGGGAGAGAGCAAAAATTGGCCCCAGCAAACCTTCCTTCTTGTGTATTTAAGCGTTCTGGGGCACAGAGCACCCATTCTTGCTACTTATAGCTGTCTTGCCCTGGTCCTTCAGTTGGTGTAGTTGTCAGAGCTGGGTTACCAGGTTTTCTCTGGATCTGATCCAATGGCCTTTTGAGATTAAAAAGCATTTTTTTTATCTCTTCTGGACAAGATCAGTAAAGGTATCTGGTGGGTTTTTCATCCTCCTAACAGCATCCTGGAGGTATGATACGTGGGGGTAAGAAAATAAGAGGATGAAGAAATGTATGTCACTAAATATTGTCACAAATTGCAGCCAGTGCCCAGCATTAGAGTTTCACAAGGCCAGCTCTTGGGGTGAACCTAACCACGGGACGCAGGAAAGGTATGAGAAGGTATTAAATCTTTGCAGACCAGGCTCTCTCTTGTACGGTCATTTCCACCTTCAGTAGGTGGTTAGTGGGACGGGACAGTGGGCTGAATCATGAAGTGAACAGGGGTATTTAGCAAAGGGAGTCTGGCTTCATTCCTTAGTGGTATGGTGAGAGGCCATTCAACCCCACACTGGACACAGTTAATGTCTGGCCATTTGAGGAAGTGGGGATTCATTGCGTTCTTGTATGTTAAAATTGATAAAGTTGAGGCTTGACATTTTAAATTCTTTCACCGGCCTTTGATTGGCTTTATGCTTCTTCATGTCCTGAATAATGTGAATCATTGCTCTTCAACTCTCACATAGTTTACCCAGGAAGAGCCTGAAAATCCCTTATAATACAAGCTCTGGGCCTAGACCTGCAACCCCATTGTGAGTAATCTACTTGACTTCATGAGTAAAGACTTTAGAATTTTCCCATAGCCATCTGGCTAAGAGAGTACCTCTGAGCTATACATCTATGGATTTTGACCTCTTCAGCTGCTGAAATGGGCCATGTAAAAAAAAAAAATGCATAGGCCAAAAATAATTGTAATGCTCTTTGGGAGGGGGGGGAATAAATGCATACATAAAAATAGGTTTCTCCAAAGCACATAAAAACCCTGATAAATGAGTATAATATTAAGAAGACATATAAACAATTAATGTAATTGACATTTTTAGACATATGAACAGTTGTCTGTGAAATACTACAACCAGAACTGTCAAACTGTGCTTCCTTTTGGGGAAAGTGAATGAGAACTAACCATAAAGTCCTGATGAAAGTTTCCTAGTGCAGTTCCCCTCTCCTAATATGTTATAATATTGACTTCTTGCCTGAGTCAGTGGGTGCTGATGAAACTTGGGATATGTCTACATGGCAAACAAAAGGTGTGTTCTTAACTCGGTGTAACTAACCCTTGTTAGCAAACTCAGGTCAAAATAACAGTGAAGACATAGCAACTCCCATTTAACTTGGGTTAGCAGCTTGAGTTTAACCTGCTCCCCTACCCCAGGCTCTCAATTAAAAGCCAAGTTGCTTGGTCTTTATTGCTATTTTAATCCTTGTTAGCTAATCCAAATTAAGAACACACCTTTTTTTGCAGTGTAGACCTACCCTTAGTGTGGGAATTCTATCAGGTGTGGCTTACACCATTGAACACAGAGGGTGACATCTTGGCCCCATTGAAATTAATGGGAGTTTTGTCATTGACTTCAGTGTGGCCAGAATTTCACGCATAACATTGGAGTAGCACTTCTTATTTTGTGTAACTATTGCTGATGATGAGGTTAGAGGTCTGTGACTCTAATGCTTTAAAATGTAAATTAGTGTATACTCATAGTGCTCAAGATTGCTAAAAAAAAAAATACCCCAAACCCCAACCCTTTGAACATGCACAAATTCTAAAAGGACATATACCATATTTCTCTTAGAAGCAGCTGTACATTAAATGTTCATATGAACTCTGGGTTACCTAACAGCACTTTTCCAATAGACTAGTTACATAATCAAGTAACATTTTTGAATCTTCACATCTGATTGAACCTCCTTTCAGAACATTCAGTTAGATGCATAACAGATATGTGTTTGTTTATGCATGGCAGACAAGGTACAAAGTATCATAGTTGTATTTTATGTATAAGATATGCATTTTACACATTTCCTGTTTAGGAATATAAGAATAATGAATCTGTGAGCTTAATAGCATTTTCTTAAATTATAAACAAAGCCAAATTTATGAGACAATTTTAATTCAATTCACAATCCTCACTGGGTGGTTCTCATGTAAGCTTATATAACTATCAATTTCAGGCATAAATACTGGGATTAAGATGTCAGTCTTTGATGGCACATACAAAATAGGTAGGGTAGTGATCTAATTTAATCCTCTCATTTCTCCCCACAATTTATTGCAGATTGAGAATAAGATGCCATCTTTAAAAATTTAATGTAGAGAGCTCAATTTTGCCTCAGACACCTCCATGCAATTTCCATTTAAGTCAATTGGAGTTGTACTTGCATATCTGATGGTAAAACTGAACCCCTACAATTAAGGTACACATTTCCCAGCATAATTAGTAATCCAGAATACTCTGTGGGCCCAATGTGGCATTCTGCATGTCTAGGATTTGCCAGATTGGGCCCACCATAATGTGTGGATATTAAAGGTTACAACAACAACTTTGACTTTTGCATTTCTTGCCTTTAGAATTTAAAATTATAACTATATCAGATCAGTAATGTAATTTGTTTTATTTAATTTTCCCATTTTTAAAAAATAAAAGTAGAGGAAAAGGGATGTTCAAAATTGTGCACCTGTGCATTTGCTTGTACTCCGCCAGCGTATAGACATTCCATGATTTACACGCGCAAGTGCAATAGATAGGTAGGTGCACAATCATTGCTTGGGCAATTGCTCACACTTTTGAACAGCTGACCCTAATCTTCATACTGATTTTTGTATATTTCTATACTTGCAAAGTCAAAAATGTAGGCATGTATAGAACTCCACAATAAAATAACACAAAGCCCAACAGCCTCAATATCTAGAGAGACAAGGTGGGTGAAGTAATATCTTTTATTGGACCAACTTCCGTTGGTGAGAGAGATAAGCTTACACAGATCTCTTCTGCTAGTTCACAGTGCAGACTTGTAAATTACCATAGTGTATTAATTTTGAACTTAATTGACATTCTGAATTTTATGCTTGGAAAACTTATGTTTTTCAGTGACTTATAACTCGGTGCTTTTTGTTTTGATTTGTTTTGTTTTGTTTTCCCTCACTATCCTGGGTATTAACCCTCAGGGATTAATTACCTGAATTTTTTTCATTTTTAAAATTCATCTATATTTGAGAGATGCCTGTGTAAAAAAGAAATTAATATTTTGACATCAGAAAATAAATGTATAAAGCCATGTGTAACTCAAAAGTAGGAGAAAGGACTGTGCTCAGATTTTTCCAAATTAAAAAATCATCTTTGCTCTGAGACAAAGCAAGAATATTTCAGATGAAAAGGAGAATTTTTGCAGAAAGTTATGACCCTGTAAAAACTGACAGTCAGAATGGAAGTCTTAGTGTAACTTTAAGTATAGTGACCACTACAAGATTATTGGGGCCTAGTTCTACCACTTGTACTCATATTATGTAGTACTATATTCTGAGAGTAAACTCATTGATTCCAGTAGGACTACTTGTGGAGTAAGGTGCTACTTAATGTGAGTAACGATGGCAGAATATATAGCCCATTAAGAGAAATATATGTAGCAGTTAATTTCTTTTACTTTTTTTGACTGGAGAAACCTTTTTATACAAACAGCCACCAAATACTGAGCAAAAGTAATGGAATAAATGTGTTCTTTCACCCAAACCCACACAATCTTTCACATCTTGTCTCCTTTATTTTTTCAAAGGTATATCTGCAAATATATTCAGTACTATCTGTGCTAACTACTTTCAAGGAAAGAAGATAATGTTCTCTATAATACTACAGTTCTTAGTTTGTTTGTTTTTAAAAAGAACAGTAAATATTACAGTGGGAAAAAGTAAAAATGCAAGAAAACATTCTTCATTATTATTATTATATTATTTATTTGCAAAAAAAGGAAACATGGGAAAGCAAATACTATATTTCTAAGGTCCATGAGGCACAGCAAGCAAAAATTATGCAAATTATTTTTGTATGTTTTATAGTCAGAGAAAATTGTTCCTCCTTATAAATGTTTTAGTCATAGTAAACAATTACTGTGTTTGAAGATAATGGTAGGAATTAATAACTTCTTATTTAAATATTTTTAGTATTATCTGTTCAGTGTATTAACACTTAGAACACAACAACAACATTTTTCACAGTCAACAAATGTATGGTTAGAAGCATATGTATACATATCCTCTGCATCCAGACGACTTAACAAGCTTATAGTTCAGCCTATCAATTTAAATTCTTTTCTCTTTTGACATCTGTTACACTAGCTTGATAGTGTATGGGAAATTTGGATATCTATCCATTTTCAGGTAAAGACTCTAGGCAGCTGAAGTGCTTGATTTATTAATATTAGCATTCCTCTGTTCAGTGTTTACACCCTGCTTGTTATTGTACTGTATGTATATTTCTTTGTTTTGTTGAGATGGAAATAAGATCAAAATTGCTGCTAAACCATTTATTTCTTTAGAAGTTTTTCACCACTTTTAATAAGCTTCCATTATGTGTTTTCACAGCAAGCTTAGTAGTGGAGGAACAAACGCGACAGATGAAAATGAAAGTGCATCGTTATAATCAGACAACAGGGTCTGGTTCTAGCCAAGAATATGAGCGTGAGCAATATACCAAGGTAAAGTTAGTAGTATTTAAACAATATTTTGTTTGGAAAGGTGAAGGAGTAACATGGCTTCTTAAAATATTATCCAATACTTAAGGATATAATGTTTTACATTTGAAGGAAGCTTTTTTGAATCGAAGCTTTATTATATCACTTTGACCCATAGTCAGAAAAGTGTATTAGACGTCTGTAGTAATCTAAAATGGGTTTGCACAATACAAAATGCTTTTGCAGATGCTTGTACAAGATAACATTTTTGCTTCCTAATATTGCTACAGACGTAATCTTTCCTGCTTGGAAATGCATGAAGGGATTTTGTTTTCACAGTGACTCAAACATCAGTTGAGTTTTGATCTTTTCTAATTGAAATGTAAAATTTTCTTTTGAGACACAAATTTACATGATAAAAGTTGCATTAAAAAGTTTTAGTCCAAAGGTACCATGTGGCAAATTTTCTTTATAATACATATATGTGCTTCCACAGCCATTTGAACTTTCTGCTGAATAGGTCTCAATTAGAACACAGAAAATGACTTGTAGTGTTCTGTTATGCCTTTTACAAGCCAGGTCATAGAGGACAGAGTTGTCCATATGTGCATAATTGCTGAAGGCATATGGCCTCCTGGAGCACTGAGGCAGGAAGGATGCTTCTGGAGGTCCTGGGGGAGAGGTACTTAGAGGTAGATCCTATGATTCCTTTTTAGAGAGACAGTATTGTTTCTATTTAGTGTAAATAAAAGACCATCAAAGGCAGAACCAACCACTCTGCTGCTGTACTAGAAGCATTCTAACAACAAAAGCATTGAGACTATTGTATAACAATAATATGCTTACTATGAGCAGCCATAGGGTGACAGTATGAAGATAAAAGCATACTGTAGGAAGTTGTAAGTACACAGTATTACCAGCACCACCACTATAGACTAGTCAAAAATCATGAATAGGCCCCTCAGACTCATGAGATTGTAAATAATATATTTTGGGTTCCTTTTATTTGCTTTCTGGCTTTTGAGCCTTTACTGTTCACATTTTTAAGCTTTTATTCACATGGACTAGAACTTTAAAAAAAAAAAACAAATAAAGCTGGGATTTTCACTCTCACTCCAGGCACTGGGGCTTCAAGAAAAATGCCAAACCTTGCAGTAAAATCACGTTGTCATCGCTAGAATGCTTCAAACATGTACTCCACAAGCACGGGTATCCAACTGCTAGACACATTCCCCCCACCCTCCCCAATCCAAAATACATCTCTCAGTGTTTCTGAGAACATAGCAACTTCCAGTTAAAATTAATGGGAGCTGCTGGGTCCTTAATACTTCAAAAATCAGGCCACACACTTAGGCTCCTAAGTCCATATTTAGGTTTGAAAACGTTGGTCTGAGTATAATTAAACTGGAGAGCATATCAAATATGGGAATATTTGTATAACTGGGATATAATTTGTCATCAAAAGTAGAGATAAATACAAATAATCCTAGGAAGAGGAACATAATATATTAGGCTACTGGTTGTCAAATTAATACAGATGCTGGTGCTATAGCACTTTTTGCTGAATATTTCCAGTCAAATCATCTGAAAAACAGCCCTACTTTTTGGGTAAAAGTAAAATAGCTCATTTTATGTTGGGTTTATATTGTAGATCACATGCAACAGATTCAGTCAACCAGATACATGGGAGAAATACACATGTCCCATGTGACCTATCTCAATCAATCACAAACTCAAAATACAGCATACGCAGTAGCTTGTTAAAAATTGTGGGTATCCAGATAAAAGGAAGAGAGTTCCCTCTAGCTTCTTTGGGCACTTCATAGACCTACAAAAAGTTTTGTCAAATCATTATTGGTTCACAGCTGCAAGTCAAACTTCAGTCATAGTTGGTTTGTTCTAACTACATATACAGTTGAAGCCAGAGGTTCACACTGCTCTAAATATACCCAATTTTCATAATATTTCAACACAGATATGATAGACATGTATTTCTCAATGACAGTGAAATACTTATTAGATTACCTACGTCTCAAAGAGGATCATGTGCTTTGGTTGGCGTTTGCTGTCAGCCCTTCAAATTCCTAGCTCTCCCGCCAGTATTGTATTTGTCACGGGGCTGATATACCCCATAACCCTTTGGGGGTTGGAGAGAGGTGCATTACAGCCCTGCAGTTGAATCGGTAGGACTGCCCACAGTCTCAGGGTGTGTGGCCCTGTGACCATAGTCAATAGCCTGGCCCTTGCGCTCAGGGCAGGGCAGCCTAGCAGCCAGAGTCAATAGTGTAGGTGAGCTGAGCCACCACCCCGGAGTGGGCGGTGGCCAGGTGACCGGGCCAGGTGACTGGGCCCACACTCTACACCAACTCCCAACCCAGGGCCCTGTCGGTGGCGGGGTTTCCCACCACCAGCTCGGCAGGGATCCTACCGAAACACACCAAGCCCGTCTCCAGTTCTACTACCGTTTCCCCAGGTCACTTCCTACCTGATTCTCTGCAGTTTGCCATCTCTGGGTCTCCACGGTCTCTCCCCTCTCTGTGGTGTCCCAACCCTATGTTTTGCCGTCTGTCTCTATCTGGCTGGCCTCCACGTCCTGTAGTGCAGGCATTCCTCCCCCAGGAGTCAGCAGTGCACCTCCTTCCTCACTGGCAGTCAGCGCAGATTGAGCTGCTCTGCTGCCTTTTATATCCTGTCTCCAGTGGGAGCATGCCCAGCAGAGCTGAGGGGGCGTGACCTCCTTGGCCAAGAGAGAAGGGTTAACCCCTGCTGCACCAGTGTGGGGCTGATACACCCCATCACAGTATTAATATGGGGAACTGAGGCCACAATTAAACGATCATATCTTAAAGGAAGCATGGTGTCCATCTATTGTATGACAGGGTTACTTTTTCTGGGCATCTTATGTCATTACAAAGAAGCTGAGCTTTTCAAGATAAAACAGTTGAATGTAAAATGAGTAACTTGTGATGAGCTTGAAATCCAAAATATCCTTAACGTGCACCTGTTTAATGTTCCACCTAATTAAAATCAGATATAACATCCAAGCTGATGATCATATGTCACCTGATTCGGATATATGGGTGGATAAAGTTTTACACTGTGACCCGTGATTTGAAGTTTTTTTTAATCTCAGTTATTTTTAACTTGTCACTACTATATTGTGGTTTTTGCTCCAGTAACTTTGTCATTTTATGCGTTAAGGTCATTATTGCACAGATAATATAATCCAGACTGTTATAAATGTTTAAGGTATAAGGTTTTAACCAAGTTCATTGTTCAACCACACCAGAAAAAAGACAGGAGGCAATGGATGTCATTTAATGAGGCTGCAACTTTATTCACTTATAATATGTGGGAGTGCCCAGCAAGAAATTTTACAGTGCAGGAAGAAGCAGGATCAGTTTCCTGCTTTTCCAGATGTAGGAGCCCCAAACCCCTTCCTCAGCTCCCATAAAGGAGTCTAGAATAAGGAGGGTGGTCGGTTCCCTGCTCATGAGATGTAGGAACTGCAAACCCCACTTACTCAGCTCCCTTAAGAGATGCTTTCCTTCAAACTCTTTTCCAACACATTATATCCAGTAATCATATCCATTCTATACTGAGTACGCCCAGGACATCTGCCACAAGGAGGCACCAGCAAAATGCTTGGCTGCCTCCCCCACCTCTGCCTGGTTCCCAGATATTCACTGATTTCTACCTGTTTTTGTTTTTAACCAAAGTGAACCATATTTGTATCCGGTGTCTGCTCCCAAAGAGTGTACAACACACATCAGCAGGTCCAATAGCACGCCTCTGCTTCCATGCCAGCTCAGGGTTGCCTTACTCTCTAGGCCCAGATGTGAACTGCTCACCAACCTGGAAGTCCTGCCTGTGTGCCCAGTATACAATACTGTGCCTGCAGGGCCACACCACTGCTCACCTGGCCTGCTTGCATGATTCTGAAAGTGGAAGTACAAGAAAATTAACTCTGATTTTCTACCTGGGGTCTCACATACATCTTGTGTACACTTGAATGTCATTGCCTGAATTGCTGTGGCCCCTACCCTAGGTGGGACACAACCGTTGCATGCCCTATCCAGAAAAAGTGGGAACCAAATTCTTGCACCAGTAGCCCCAGCTTTGAAAGTCCCTTTTTGAAAACTGTAACAAAGTTGTGAAGAGCCTTCCATCACCAGGGATAAAGAGGGGTCTTACGAGTCTCTTTATTGTATAAGTCCTTAATGTTCTTACTGGGCAATTCCTTGCCTCAACCCACAGCTGTAGCAATATAGACTCACCTTGCCCCCTTGGAAATCCTCATGGTTTTGAAAACTGATTGCACTTCCCATTGTAAATCCTTCCATTCCAAAGTCCTTCCAAAAGTATCCCTTGCTAACTCAGGCATTAGTTCACTGACTTTAAAAGCTCCAAAAATTGCTACCAGGAATGCAGTTTTGAACAAGGCTGCCTCCTGGCTGCTTCTGCATATTTGATTGAGAACTTGCACCAAATCTCTAAGGGCATGTCTACACTTAAAATGCTGCATCAGTACAGCAGCACCGGTGTCGCTGCAGTGCTGTAGCGCTTTAATGAAAATGCTCTAAACTGATGGGAGAGAGCTCACCCGTAGGCTGAGAGCTCACCAAGAGGTGGTAGCTATGCTGGCGAGATAAGCTCTCCCACTGACATAGCTCTGTCTATACACGGGATTAGGTCAGTATAACTACATTGTTCAGAGGTGTACATTTTTCACAACCCTGAGCGACGTAGTTATACTGATATAGCTCTGTAATGTGGACCGACCTAAGTGTTTGAACAGTGATGGGAGAACGTGGATCTTTTCTAGGACCCATGTCCGGAGATTACTTCACTAAAAACCTCTGCACTGAGAACCTACCACAAGAATCTGGGTAACCCCTCATTCTATTGGCAATATAAGGCTCAATAGGCAACCAGAGATGGTAGATGACACTACTGGAGTACAGCAGAGTAGGCCATATCATTGGCAGACCTTCTAGCCTCTGAAATTTCACAAAATCATTAAT